GGGGTAGTATGGTAGGGAAGAATGATCATATTATGTTTGTTTTTTGTGTTCCACAATATTTTCACATTGCATAACGATATAGCGTGTTGTCACTTATGCTTTTGCCTCGCGTACGGAAAGCATTATTGTGGTGCGGTCAAAACTTCTTGGCGAAACTTACCCTCAAATATCTTTTTAACGGGTGAATCGATGTCACCCATACTTTGCCCAGCAGTTCGTATCAATTTGTCTTAATTTAATCATATTTTTCCTCAACAATTGAGGCACAAAAAGTCATAAATATATATAAAATACTACAAAATCTTCGTCGCGTGGAAAATTGAAGTAATGGCTATATTTGATACCGTATAAATGCGCGATTCTTCAATCTGAATAGATTATCCCAAACAGCTTTCAATACATTTATATATAACTGACAAGTAAAAGGAATGAAGAATAATGTTATCCACTCCTAATCAGTAGCGATGTGCTGGTGCCAGTGTGTTTTGTTTTTAACAATAATAAAATGTAATCATCGGAGTAAAAATTAAGTTTTGTTCCGCATCATTAATTGCACTATAGGTATTTAAAACTTGAGTTCCATGAGCATAATGTTGCGAATAGAAGAAGTAGGACGGACTTGCTTTTAAAGGTGCTATTGTCTCAGCTCAGGGGAAGTAAGCCTTTAAAAGTGTAAAAACCACAGACCGGGATTTTTGAAATTAGTATTTAGAAAGATATTTTCTATAGTCCACACTCAGGTGGTTTAAAGATATTCATCTGTTAAAACAATTTGATATAATAAGTCAAGGTACAAAAGTTGGAGAGTATGTTCCATAGTGGGGAAGATATTTGACAATAAGTTGCGCCACGAAATTTTGACCGCACTAAAGCCAGGACCACTCAAATGAGAGGTTATGTGGGATCTCGAAAGGTAATGTGAAAGGGTTTTAAGGGTGTGGGGAGAGGGATTCAAGTCAACACAAATATTAAAATTTGTCAGATGAGGTACGGATAGCAAAAATTAATGCTTTTGAAACAGCTCCCTGTCAAGGATGTCATAAATATGGATGGTCTTTAGAAAAAAATAGAAACAGGCATATGATTGTGTTGTAGCGGTTAGGCGGCTTTGCTGTCGCACGCAGAAGACCTGAGTTTGATCCCCGTGTAGATAGAAAAGAAACTTTTCTCCATAAATATAATAAAATCCAGTACATTGAGACGTTATATCCCTCTCATCCTGGGTTGGCCCAAATAGGCAGAGTCTAAGAGTGCTTCCTTAATGATCTAAACTGTGTCGCTGAGGAGTAAAAATACCTGCATTAAAAATGAAAAAAAAAACCCAGCAGTTTTAGTGACCACACGTTTTAAGACAAGCAAAGTTATCTATTTATGTTGGTTCTGCTGAGGACACTTAACAGTTGCTTCTGTAATCCCTATAAGGTAATGTATTATAAAAACAATGTTATATGTAATTCAACCCCCCC